CCACTTGGCCATGGAGCTCACTACATGACTGTCATTGCCTCTCAGTCTAATTTATATCGCATGCTTGTTGTGGGGATTAAATGTGGAGAGGAAGGCCTATGTACACCACCTTGAGCTTCTTGGAGAAAAAGATAATAATAATAATAATAATAATAATAATAATAATAATAATAATAATAATAATAATATTTTATTTATATCCTGCCCTCCCAAGCCAAAGCCGGGCTCAGAGTAAAATAAATACAACAATAAATGCAATACATACAAGATGAGATATAACTGCAAACAAACAAATAAATAAAAGCCCTAAATCTTTCTGTAGCCCAGAGTGCTATGCTTTTTTTTTTTTTTAGAGAGAGAGGCTGTTGCTCTCTCTCTCACACACCCTCCATCTGGAATATATAATAATCCAACTGCCATTGATGATGATAGAATATAGCAAGTGCCAGCAAATCTTCCACCACAGATAATCCAATTAACACCTTCATTTGAAATGCCATGTGTAGGATATACCCTGCAGGAGCATTGCTTAGCAGCTTTAGCATTGAGGGCAAGGGAATCTGGTTCTCACTATTGCTTGTAGGATTTAGGATTCCTTTTCCACAAGTCTCTTGTCAACCCTCCCCCCCCCCCCACATCTTATCTGACCATGCTTTGTTTTACAAGACCTAATAAAGCTACATGCCTGTCCTCAAATGGCTACAAGCATATACTGCTGGCTATAGAGCAAGCCCTAATCCATTAGCTGGGTAAACAATTGAATGCACAAGGAAACATCAGCGAATAAAACAGTCTTATTCCACGCCCCCACGAATAGCTGATTTTAGTTTGTTATATACATTACTAGATTGATGGAACATTGGAAATTAACAATGCAATGTGTGTATGTCTCTGTGTGGGATTGTGCTATGTAAGTCCAAGTTCTACAGCCAGAAAAGACATCTCCTGTGACTGGAATAAGTTATGCAGATTTGTATAATGGGCCAGATTATCAAACATGCCAAATGTAATCAGTGACGCCCTGTTTCAGACCTTACAGCTCCAGGGTATCTCTATGCCCAGATCTAGGTACGCATTGGAGCATTCATAAGACTTGTTCAGCATACCAGAATCTAAAGAAAACAAGGAGGTGCCTTGAGAACTTCAGCTTGGAAGTGGCTTCAAAATGCTGGGTGGTGTCAAACGAAACAGTTTCTCTTCTGCAAGAACTATTATCAGCTACCATTTTTTTGTCCTCCGTCATTCTTCATGCTTCCATCCTCTGTACCAGGCATAGGCAAACTCCAACCCTCCAGATGCTTGGGACTACAATTCCCATCATCCCTGACCACTGGTCCTGTTAGCTAGGGATGATTGTAGTCCCAAACATCTGGAGGGCTGGAGTTCGCCTATGCCTGCTCTGTATTCTCTATGGGTAACCTGCCTTCTCCTCTATGTATGTGATCTGCCCTGCCTTCATAAATCTGCAGGAGTTTGTGGAACCCTAATGTCTGGAGCAGATTTACTGAGGGCACAGTGGCACACAGGGAGAATAGTGGGCAGGGAAATGCCATTGCGCAGCTAAAAGTCCTTGTCCCTGTGAAACTCTTCATTTGGCTATGACCCATTGTTGTTAGTAATAATAATAGGGACTGAAATAATTGGAACTTCTTTTTGTGCCAACACTACTGGATATTGGGACTCCTAACTTCAGCAAATTTTGTACACGTAGGACCATGTTGAGTGTGTTGACTTATCATCTTCTAAGTTTTACTAGTATGGGACAGAACTTGCATAGTGAAGTCTCCTGCAGCATTTTCAGAATAGTAGCGCAGCACAGCTCTTAGAACTCCTTTATTTTTGTTACTTTGCCCAACTGCACATTACACATGAAAACGTATATCTTAAAAGGCATTCTTTTCTACCAAAGAAATGGACAATTTGGCTATGGCCTTTAACCTTGCACAAAGTGGAAATGAAATACAAGCATAAATTTCTTCAGCAGGAGTAACATGGGCATAGTTAAATGGTTGCACAGAAATATGAGCATGGGTGTGTGCTGTGCTAAAAATGAATGTATGGAAAATTTGCATTTCTGGTAATATTTGCCCACAAATTTATACGTTGCGCTGTCCTGTTGTAATTTCCATCCTCTTGCCTTTGAGATACGTATATGAACAGAACTACAACTCTTCATACTCTGCTTGTGTTCCTGCTAGTGAACTGGCCTTCTATATTGAGGGCTGGCCATTGCTCAGTTTATCCATTATTGGGCATAGAATGGTTACAAATCCCTGATATTATCCCAGAGGAGGGGGAAAACTCCCTGGTATTGCGATTTCATTCAAATGGCCACAAAATGTGAAAACTAGAGGAGAAACACTACGTGCAGAAGAAACCTCATATTACGAGCTCTGTTGGATCATGCCAAAAACCCATTTACTCCAGCATCCTCCTTCCCACAGCAGCGGCCCAAATTGCCTTCAGGTATCCTACAAACAGAGCCTGAACCCAACAACCTTAATATGGAGTGTCTCCATTAGTCTTTTGGGTGGGTCATAAAGCAGTTTTTACCCATTTGTACTTAATTTGTTCCCATTGTATTCCATCAGTCCATATCACATTTCCTGTGAGTAAGCTGCCTTTGAATTGTTGTAGATTTTGGCAAAAAAAAGTTTGTGCTATGTTGGGGCTAAAACAAGTGCAAGATATTGGTTGCCAGTCTTCTGTTGAAGTCTGATGTGCCCAGAAAGTTGGGAAATGTGAGATACTCCCATTCCCAACCTACTCTGTATTGGGACTTGGCACCAAGGCTAATGAGAGAGGGCACATGCTCCCACTTGCCCATCCACCGTGGACATTTTGCAACATCACTGCAACATCCCACTTCCTGTGGGAGACCCAAAAGCTTGGAGTTGCTCAAGAGATGGAAACCTTTACACAGACTGCAGGATGTGACAGCTGGTAGGAGACAGGAATTTGAATAGGTCATTCATGTTTATACCTCACCCAGCTCTTGCTGATAATCCAGGGTCCATCGATTCACACCCTTAGAAGCATCAGCTAGCAAAACCTTGTACTCCATCCTTTCTCGTGTTTCCATCCTCAGTACCCTCTCTGGGTGGTAATGCTTCTGAATACTAGTTACTAGAAAACCATGGGGAGGAGGTTGCTCTTGTGTTTGAGTAGTCACTGTTGCACAGGCTTCTGGGTAGCCACTCTGAAGGCAGGATCCTGGACTAGATGGGCCTTTGGCTTGATCCAGCAAGCTCTTGCTATTTTCTTGTGTCCATCAGCTTTCCTAAAAGAGGAGGAGTCTCTGAATCTACTCTGGGTCTTCCAGACTGGTGAGGAGGGATGAAGGCATAGCAGCCCTTTGCGATGCGCTGATAGGGGATTTTTCACGGAGCTGCCTGCTTGTCAATCCAATGTGGAAAGTGGAATTGAGGGGAAAGCTTGTTCTCCACACTGTGATGTCTCTGGAGAGGTGGAGAAGGAGGCTGCCGCTGACTCAGTCACAAGGGAGGCCAGCCTTCGTCTCATTTTACTCAAGCCTGCCTTTCTTAATCATTTCCTCCATCTTTTTACCTCCTCCATTTTACAGAGAATGTCTTTTATATGGGACGTATCGGTACTAACTTAGTTTGCCTGCTATGAAGATGACACAACAGCCAGCAGCTTTTTGGGGTTGTTGTTTTTTTTTTCTCTTGCCATCTACGGCAAATAATTATCAACCTTTTGTTGTAGTATAAGTAGCTGACGGTGACAACATGTATTACAAAAAAGCATTTTAAATAGACTTTTGAATAATTTTCCATGCTTCACTGGTTCCCCTGGATTTCTCTCCCTGCCTTTCTGGTCCTTTCGCACACTGGACACAATCCAGCTCAAGTTAAACACTTAGAAGTCCCGTTGATTTCAATGGAAGAGATTTAAGAACATGCATAACCATGTAATTCTGTTCATGTCTGCTCAGAGGAAAGTCCCATTGAGTTTGGTGGGGCTTACTCCCAGGTAAGTGGATAAGCTCCCTCTACTTAAATAAATGGTTTCCCAAGGTAGCTTAAAGTCAGCTGAAATGCCAGATATAATTTAGTTATGCAGCTAAAAATGGAAAGCGCGAAGGTGTAAGCAACACATTTGGGAAAATTTGAATCTTACAGGTACACTCATCAGCAAGCCATTATTAGCTGCTGTTCCCTGTTGAATTTGTGGCAAACCTGATTCTCCTCTCTGCAATCTGTTAAATTACTTTCCTTTTCTTCCACTGTCTTTCTGTTGTTTCCTTCCCCTATGTTTGTCTTCAGCCCATTCTTATTTTCTCTCTTTTGTTGGCTCCCCACTTCAGTTTGTCTATCTTTTCTTCTCCCGTGCATCCCCGCTCCCTCTTTCTCCCTTCTTCACCTCCCCATGTACTTTTAACACATCTGTTTCTAATTTTGGGCTGTCTATGGTATCAGTTGGAAACAATGGGCTCCTTTAAAATATCAGAAATAAATTTCTGAGCAGAACGACATACACAAAAGTGAGCAGATTGGCCAGTAATCTTGAAACAATGCTTTGTTGTTCAAATGTGTGGATGACAAAGTTGTCTAAGGCTTTGTATCCTAAAAACCTCAGCATTTTTATGTGTGTGTGTGAGCTCTGCAGGCGGCATTTAAGATTTCTTCAAGAGAAGTATTTAACATTAAAAAGCTTCAACAGCTTTTTGTGTAAAACAACATCAACCCACACCTTTAGGAGAAGAGAGCCTCATGCTTTAAACTCTATTCATTCCGATATGCGAATTGAATTTTAACTGCCCCCCCTATTTTTGTTCTCCATAAAAATAATAAAAATGCCAAGAAATTGAAAACAGATGATCTCCATGCTCAACAAACTTCGATGCCAGCCCCCCGCTTTAAATCATAAAAAGTAACTTATTTTTCCAAAAGCCCCTCCCTGTTGTGGTTGCAACTCCTCTTTTGTTAGGATTTTTTTTTTCCTTTTAGAAAAGACTAAAACAAAAACCTCCAACTTACCTAGAAACAGGATAGAAAGTGCAGACATTCCGTCTCTGTGAGAGAGACTTTTCTTCCCCCTTTTTTTTACTTCTCTCCACTCAGGAATGGCAGGCAGACCTGCTCAGAATTCAAAGCAACGCCTCTGGAATGTGCTCCATGTAATTGCATCCATGTGCCAGAAAAATAACCAACTTTGCTCCTTCTTCCCTTCTGCTATTAATTCCCCCCATCCAGTTTCCATGCAGATATGAGGAGAGCCTGTTTCTCTCTGTCCGCTGGTTCGGAGCCTGTCAGCATCTGGAAGAGGAAAGACAAGAGGCGGTGCAGCTGAGAGACACATCTATGGCTGCACAGAGTAATTTCGCATGTCTGGAAAGAAAGAGAGAAAAGAGGAGGGAAAATACACAGCGCACAATTTTAACCATATGGCTGAATCCCAGAACAGCCCCTCCCTACCATCAGCCAGGATTAACAGTGAAGGCTGGTCATGTGGTGAGCTGTTACTTACTCCTGGTAAAAGAGCAACTGTACGTTCTGTGGCAAAGCAAGTAGATTGCACTGGTGTCAAATTGGTTAAGTAGATTAAATTTGGAAAATAATTGTCCCTCGAGTAGGGGGGGGCCCTGTGGCATTCCAGGTGTTGCTGAACTTCAACAGCATGTTTCAAATATGTTTTTATTGCTTTGTCAGTTGTTTGCCAGCCCAGGCACCTTTGAAACGAGGGAGAGGATATAAATTTAATAAATATTAATAACAACAGCAGCAGCAGCATCCTTTCGATCAGCCATCCTGTTGAGGCTGATCAAAAGTGAAGTCCAACGACATGAAAAAGAACAGTAATACTCTCTCTCCTAATGCTAGAATGTGTGGACATTGAGCGAAGCTGAATGTTGGAAGATTCAGGATAGATAAGAGAAAACACTCATACAGCACATAGTTGAACTATGGAACTCACTCCCACAGGAGGCAGCAAGGGCCACCGACCTGGATGACTTTAAAAGAGGATTGGATAAATGCATGGAAGGGAAGGGTATCAGTGGCTACTAGCCATGACACTTATGCCCTGCGTTCATGACCTGATGCAGTAATGCTTCTGAATTGCTGGAAACAACAGAAGGGGAGAATGCTTTTGAAGCTGTGTTACACACAGAGGCGAAACCAAAGGGGGTGGGTGGGGCACTGGGCACCACACTTATTGCGGGGCCTGCAGCGTGCCCAAGCCACGCGTCTCTCCTGGGAGTGACATGGTGGTTCGGGTGCCTGCAGGCTCCACACTGCCTGCAGGGTGCATCCGCCACCCTGGGTGCCCGAGCAGCCAGCTACACGGCTGGTTACACAGTCTTATGTGGAAAAGTGTAGGTGATGCCTAGTGGTTTGAGGATTCGTGAAGTTAGACTCCTTTTTCCTCTTGTCTAGGTTTTCCCCATACAAATCCCTGTTGGCCAACACCATCAGTTGAACTAGTCAGAGGGAAGAGCAACAGGTAGCTGTTAACAGGTCACAGTACTGATTTTCTTTTTGTCTGGGTGTGGAGCCTTGCCCCCACCCCCACCCCCCAATTCCAGAACATATCTTACATTATCTAGCAGCTGTGGTATCATGTAGAACAGGGGTCAGCAAACTTTTTCAGCAGGGGGCCGGTCCACTGTCCATTAGACCTTGTGGGGGGCCGGACTATATTTTGAAAAAAATAAATAAATGAACGAATTCCTATGCCTTACAAATAACCCAGAGATGCATTTTAAATAAAAGCACACATGTAAAAACACGTGATTCCCGGACTGTCCGCCAGCCAGATTTAGAAGGCAATTGGGCCGGATCTGGCCCCCCGACCTTAGTTTGCCTACCCATGATGTAGAAGGTCAACCAAATCAGTTTCATTCGCCCAACCAGAGTACAAGCTAGCCTGTGGTATTTCTGTACTTCAGCTTATTCTTACCCTACTGTTACTGGTATTTGAAAACCTCCTGGGTTTGGCAGGAACACACACACACACACCCCTTGTTGTTTGTTGCAACTTTTGGTCCCACTCAAGTGGGGACAAAGAATGGATGGGCTTTTTTAAAAAAAGATCTGCCTTCCTGCTCCTTTCAGAGTGCTGTCTTTCTTTCAAACTCCAGTGGCTGCAAATATCACTCAGCTCAGCAGTGGAAAGACCAATGGGTGGCTGCTGACACTGGCAAGTTTGGGTTTGGATGTTTAACCTGGTCCTGGATTTAGGGGCAGTGTGTGTGTTGTGTGGACACTACAACTCGGCTCAGATGCCTGCATCTCCCTGTCTCTAGCTTGTAGAAAGCTGAGTAATCAATATATCGCCTTCCACACACGTGTCTGAAGGAGATGTGAAAAATACAATAAAAGCAGTCAAAAACAACACAACACAGCAGTTAGGCAGCAGGTCTCACTCATGGGATGAGCAAGTTAATACCAGACAGCAGATATCCTATGATTCTATTTTCGCAATTGCCCCTTTGGATTAGCCATATTCGGCTGCGATTTCAGATTCACTTAAGAATCTTTTAATCTTTTATTTCCACAGTCCGGTTGCTTAAAATTTGGTGAAAGGGGGGGGGATAACCCCTCCCAACTCCATGTCCCCTGCTACCCCCCGCACAAATTAATGAACATTTTTTCTTAGTTCTGCATGGTAATGCTATGTATTATTTCAGTTGATTATACCCTCATCTGACTTACACATACCAACATTTGTTTATAATAATTGTTTCACATCCTATTTGAGCGGTTGAAAACTGGCCGTCCACCCCTATTTTATACCACTTTTCAGGCAAACCTCACAAAGCAATTGACAAAAGCCCATTAAAAAGACAAAATTGTGACACTTATTGTTGTAAGTTACAATAAAGGGGAAATGCACCTGTTTGCTTAGAATGAGCAAAACTGCTTCTTCTCCACTCTCATGGCAAGATGGTCCTTCAACTGGGGTGGGGGTAAGACATAGGACCCAAATATCTGAGAGACTGACTTCTTACCAGATTTCCATGGGGAGAGACCATAGAACTCTCTTCATCATAATACAGTGGTACCTTGGGTTAAGAACTTAATTCGTTCTGGAGATCTGTTCTTAACCTGAAACTGTTCTTAACCTGAAGCACCACTTTAGCTAATGGGGCCTCCTGCTGCTGCTGTGCCACCGCTGCATGATTTCTGTTTCCATCCTGAAGCAAAGTTCTTAACCCGAGGTACTATTTCTGGGTTACCGGAGTCTGTAACCTGAAGCGTATGTAACCTGAAGCATATGTAACCGAAGGTACCACTGTATAGTGCACAGGCTTTGAATGTAGAAGGTCCCAGGACCAATCTCAGGCTTCTCTAGTTCGGAAAGGATGAGCTAGCAAGTGAGGAGCAAGAGATCTTTCTGAGTTCTTGGAGAGCCACTACCAATCAGAGCAGGTGATACTAGCTAGATGTACCAATCCTTTGACCTGGTTCTAGTTGTGTGCCTACAAGATGTTTAAAATCAAAATGAAAAGGACGTCTGATGATCTAAGCGGAAAGCCACTGGGTGCTTTGCCAGATATATAACAGTCACCCTGACTGATAGATGAAAGGTATTGTATGAAAGCTATTGCTAGGTCTTGAATGAAGTAGGAAAATAGAATTTCTAATAGACTGGTGGATCACAAGCTTCCATCCTGTATCCTCCCCTCTTCAAAGATAGCTGGACTAAATAGATGCAAAGGATCAGAAGCAATTGTAAAGCTGAAATTGCTTATGAGCTTTTGTTGTCGCTATTAACTGATCCTTGTGGAAGAGAACTCAGAGGAGCATTTGTAATGTAAATGAGCATTCTGGCAAATGTAGGCTTTATATTTGCATTACAGACTATTGAAGCAAAAGGCTCCTCAAGTCTCCTGTGAAAAAAATGTCCATGGGCTTGGCCTTGCTCTTTCCATTTCCCCTCTATATGAGCTTCATATAAGAAGTGCCCAGCTTCTGGATCAAGCCAAAGACCCATATAGGCCATCATTCTGTCCTCACAGTGGCTAACCAGAGGCCTGTGAAAAGCTTGCAAGTGAGACATGGGTGCAACAGCTTGTGCTCCCTAGTAATTGGTATTGAGATAAATACCACCTCTAATATGGAGGTAGGATACTTCCATCAGGACTAGCAGCTATTGATAGCCTTATTTGTCTAAATGCCCTTTAAAGCTGCCCAAGTTGGTGTCAATTACTAAACCTTGTGGTAGGAAACTCCATAGTTAATCTAATAAATGCTTCCTTTTGTCTTTCCTGAATCTTCCAACATGACTCTGGATTCTGGTATTATGAGAAAGAGAGAAAAACATGTCTCAGTCAACTTTCTCCAGACCATGCATAATCTTAAATGTCTCTATCCTGTCACCTTCTAGACACGTTTCTCTAAAATAAAAAGGCTCAAGTGTTGCAATTCTTCCTTTTAGGGGAGTTGTTCCAGCTCAGTTATAATTTTGATTGCCCTTTTGCTGAAATTTTTCCACAATATTCTTTCTGAAGTGTAGCAAGCAGAACTGTATGCCGTATTCCAAATGTAATCATGCCATAGATTTGTATACTGGCATTATGAGCTTGTTGGTTTTATTCTTAATTGTTTTCCCAGTGACATGGAACTCACCCTTTTCATAGCAGCCACATACTTCCAAGGTGATTTGCTCCAATGTGCCATACTTTGAACTGCATTTGTCAGTTTAATGTCTATTCCTCCAAATTGGCAAGATCCTTTTGGAACTTCTCACAATCCCTTTTTGTTCTTACCAGCCTGGGCAACTTGGTGTCATAAATAAAACTTAGCATATCTGTGTCATTTTTGAAAATGCACAAGTCCTTATACTAATCCTTGTAGAATTGTGCTTTCCTACATCTCTCCATTGGAAGAACTATCCATTTATTCCCATTCTTTGCTACTGGTTCTTTAATGAGTTACTGATCCATATGGGGACCTGCTCTCTTATCCTTTGACTGCTAAGCTTACACAGGAGGGACTAAATCATTGCCTAAGTAGATAATGTTGACTGGATCACTTCTATCCATATACTTATCAAAACTACCACAGAACTCTAAAAATTCAGAAAGAACTTACTGTTGTGGAAGCCATGCTGATTCTTTACACACTAGAAAGACTTGTTCTTCTGTTGGTAATTCTATATTTAATTAATAATACTTTCCACCCATTTTCCACCCAGATGTTAAACTAACTGGCCTTTGTATCCTACATATGAGTGTAGAGAGGAGGACGGATAGTAAGATAGAACAACAGTTTCTAAAAAAATTGCTTGGGAGAAGCCACACCACTGGGGTCTCTTGCTTCCAATATGAATTATGTGAGTGTTAATTTAGGCTTAGGAACTTTCATTACTGTGATGGGATGATGAGCTGCTTGTGCGTAAAATGCA